TTTTTTTTTTCCCTACTACAGCCTGAAAATAGTGGCCCAGAGAGCTGCCTGTATGACCTCGTGGCTGTGGTTGTGCATCACGGCTCAGGGTGAGTACATGGAGCCAGCCTGTCCTCCTGGCACAGACCTTCTCCCACTCAGGTGCATGCAGAGATAATGAAGGGGTTTCTGTCCCCGGGACATGTATTTTAACTGGGGGAAATAAGCCATAGTTTATAAGCTGGCAGGGAGCTAAGCTGAGTTAATTTTGATAGGTCCAATAGAGTCAGGCCTGTAAATGTCCCCTGGCAGCCTTTGGGGTTAATGACTACATGTGTGAGATGAAATGAAAATAGTCTAGTGCCTCTACAAATAAAAAAGCCCTAAACCAAGAGAAGGAGTCAGGGGGCCTTCCAGGAAATAATGTCTCATTTAGAAATTCTTACTATAAAACAGGATTATTTTTTCCTCTTTTTATTCATATTGAAAGGTACATTTGCATTTATGCTAAGGAAGTGTATGAACATGCTTGGAACAACTGCCGCCCAAAGATGTGTATGGTGAAAAAGATCATCACCATTACCTTTCCTGTCACAGCAGTGAAGGCTCACAGGCATGCCCAGGGATGGAGCTGGGCATATTTTGAAGTAAAGTTACTGGGAGTCTTTTAACTTTTCCCAGCCCTGGACAGATCTGTTGAGAGTAACAGTAGAAGGGACAAGACAGTGTGTTCTTGTAGAACTTTAATTTGAAGAACTGTAAGCCCCACAGCTCCAAAAGAGAAGCATTGGCTGTGCAGGGCTGTGGGTACCTTCCTTCCTCAGGCTGCTGGCAATCCCTTAACCTGAGGAGACGGTGCCTCAGTGAGGAGTGTCCCTGACTGTTGTCCCTCTGCCTGCTCCACAGTGTTGGTTCTGGCCACTACACAGCGTATGCAGCGCACGAGGGCCGCTGGTTCCACTTCAATGACAGTACTGTAACGCTGACCGACGAGGAGACTGTGGGTAAGGCCAAGGCCTACATCCTCTTCTATGTGGAGCGCCAAGCCAAGCCTGGAGCAGAGAAACTATAATACCTCCTTTGCATTCTTACTTATCAAGTCCACCGGAGAAACGTTTCCATTTTTCCATAAATACTTGATCCAAGACTTACTAATTTCATTGTGCACTTTGCAATTTCCTCTTGTGAGTTTTTATTCTGTTGTGTCAAAGGTAGCATTTGATTTACGGAACTTGGACACAAACTAACTTTTTTTTAGTTATACCAGAAAACCTCAGCAGATTTTGATTTGCTGCTTTAGTTGTGATAACTCACTTTTTATATATATAGTTTCATGAAATAGTTATTTGACTTTTTTGTAGTAATATTTTCAGTTCTCACTTTCTAAAGGCACATTTACATCAAAAAAACTCTGTCCTCCTTACAAGCAAGATAAATAGCTTTTGATCATGAAAAGCAATACAACTTTATACTGTTCTCAGTTCTATTATGTAGATAGGATTTAATCTCTTTAAATCAATAAATTGTTTGCACGTATTATTTTTTCCCTTGTGCAAGAAACTTAAACAGTGACCAATCATCCTTTGTCTGCAGAAGAGAGGCAATATAACATCATTAAATAGACCAGGTAATTGCTGCTATATTGGTGTGTATTCAGGTTGGTGACTTTCAGGAATCATTGTAAATAAACAGTTGATTTAATTATATCAATACTGCAATTTAATTACTGTGCTCCTCAGATATACTGCCCCCTACCGCCTGCATATTTAAAACAATTATCTTTACCTGTCTAAATTATGTTGCCTTTTATGGTTTGATAACTGAACCTGAATTGCATTAGACATCTCTTGGTTTAGATTGTCATCCTGAAATTGGATCATGAACACTTATGTGCTTGAAAATGGGGAGACTTCCTGGCAGTAGAATCCCAATAGAACCCCTTAGTTCCTAGTGGGAATTGGAAGTACCCCAAGGGCTGGGGTTTGTGAGAACAGGCATAGGTCTAAATGCAGCTCTGCTCCATGGCTACAGTTCACTTGGAAGCGGGAGGAAACAGATTGTGTTGCAGGTGCTTTGCATGAAATTGTTCTGTCAGTTCAAATGTAAACTCAAGGGAGGATGCTCAGTCTCTCACAGCAGAGCCTTCAGAAGGAAAGTGCTAAGCCAAGCATGCTTGTGACTGTAGCAGGCTCAGAGAGCTCCTGTGGCATTTACACACTGGCCCAGGGTGGCATTTTTGTTCAGTCTCTAAGTGAACACTGGAGTCACAGTGCAGTTTCTAAAACCTGGCTATGTAAAAGAGAAAAACTATGCTTAAAAAACCCAAACCAGTTTTAGCTCTACTGCTGATGAGTGGAAGTCAGCTATTACGATGGGAAAGGCAGACAGGAAAACCACTACTGCCAAAGCTATAGTGGAATCTGACAGAAAACATGAAATTCATTCATATCTGTTCCCCCAGTCTCTCCTTTCTAGCTGGCTCTCTTGTACCAAGCAAGGAGCTGGACCTCCTGAAAGATCTGTTAAGAGGAGAATACAGTTCGTGGAGAGTTCCACCACCAAACACCAGCTCTTACTTGTGTTAACTAGAAAATGCAGTTGCCTGAAAACTCCAGCTGGGAGTACTATTTTAGTTAATGCCCCTGAAGGACAGGGAGTGGGGGCTAGAGTGGACCAGAGCAACCTGGGGCACAGGGAGTGCACAGCAGTGCCTTGCCCTGGGGTCCTGCTGGCTGTTCACAGGCCAGGATAAAGGACAAATCACAATCAAGCATTTGGTACAGAGGCATTCTTGGGAGCTTTGTCAGAGCATCTTAAACCAGGAAAGGGAGAAATTGGCTTAATCTAAAACTGCAGAAATTGTTCAGCATAGCTAATGGGTTTTGAGTATGTACACAGGTTAAGACTATAGTTATTTGATATAGTGACATATTTATAAGGATGTTGTCTTTTACTTGAACATTAAACAAGTTGAACAGTAACTAGAACTTGTCATTGCTTTAAGCTGTAGATAGTTTGTCACCTTCCCTTCCTTACAGGCAGTCTTTCTTCTAATCAATGAGAATAGGTTACTGATACTTAACACAAGCAGAAAACAGAAAGGTAAAGCATTGTATCACTTCCCTGCCCTTCCTGCTGCTCACAGGTAGCTACGCAGATACCACCTTTAGCTGTGTTTTCTCTGCATGCTGCTTAGACCGGATTTCTTTAGAATTTACCTTTGAAAATGCCAAGTTTAAAATACACAACTATCTCAGCACCAGCAGCAGTTTAACTTAAGTAGTCAGGTGTATGCAGTGCTCTTGCAAAACAGTGATGTAAATGTGCCTTTCTGTATTTTTAGAAATTTAAATTTGTAATCTTCAGCAACATTCACTTATTTTAATCGCCTTGTCAGCAATTGTTTGGATCAGAGTTACGTTCTCATTTGAGCATTTTCTTTCAGTCCCATTTACTGTGTCCCACACAGCTCCTGGGCAGTGGTGTCTCCAGCAGAGCCACGTGGGGCTGGTCTGGGAACACCATGCAATCACAGGAGGCTGTCCTTGCAGCATGTGCTGCTCAGGACTCAGCCATATGCTTTGCTGGAACAAGTACATTGTAAATCCTTTCCTAATTTAACTTTCTCCCACTGCAAACTCAGATGGACAGTATGAACAGTTTGTTGTGGCAACACAAATATTTCTCTTCCTGGTGGAGAACTTTGCTTATCCACTGTATTCTATTCAGTGTGGTGTCAAAAGAAAAAAAGTAACTGAGCACTGAAACCAGTAACATAAACTGCACCTGGCCTAGTATTACCTTTTTAACCTAGCTTGTATATCCTATGTTTATCTACTCAATTGTGGTGGGGAATATCTCTTTCATTTAAGCCAGAAGGTTTTTTCTACTTACTGCTCATCATAGTACACACTAGCTAGCAAGAATTTTTTTTCTTGCTTGAGACTGCTCTGTAAGCAGCAACTGCTATCTACAGTTCAAAGACTTGCATCTTTTTCACCAAAATGTGTTCAATCAAAGGTCGTCCTTTTGTTACTGATTGTTTAGCCATGTATACAACTGGAGCCATTATTTATGTCAATCAAAACTACAAAATGTCCAGTTCCTAAATGTCAGCAAGAGAGGAGAGTTAAGTTTGAGACAGGAAGGGATAGTGGATTTGTATCAAAAACAGGAGGCCATTTGTGAAGATTTTACTAAATCAGTGGGAAGTGTAACACATTGTGTTAAGAATTCCCCCAGCAATGTTTCATTACTGATGTGTCTGTGTCTTACTGATGAGGTAATGGGCACCTTGACAGCTGATTCCAACATGCTTTAGGATATTCTCAAGTACTGTAGTGCCATAGTTGTAATTGTTTACCATTAAAATCTTGTGTGTAATTTTCAGTGAGGATTACTGACTGTGCTCATTTTGTGTGTTTCTGGAGCATTTCCAGGATGAATGTGAATTATATCTCATCACATAGTGTGTTTATGGAAAACGTGCCATTAAAGTGTCTCCTTTCCTTAGAAAATGAAACTTCTCTTGTCCTTCTACAGGCTTGCAGATCATTGGTGTATATCCTCTGAACACAAATTGCAGAATACTGTATCATGCTCTGGGAAAAACAAAATAAAGCAATTGCAGTGTTCCTAACTCTGTAACACCTCTACCAAACTTAGCACCTAACCCCAGAGTGGACCTGCCATTCCATTTTAAATGCCTTGTCACCCAACTGCTGTTATTTTTATGTCAGATTGTGGTGTGTCCCCTCTGTCTGGCAAGAGTCCATCTTAGGACATCCTTGTCATTCAACTTTGCTAGATTGTTGATTTTTTGTTAAATTGGGGAGGGGGTGTGTGTTAATTAGTATTTTGTTAAATGGCATTCCTGTATGTATAACTCTAAGAAGTCTCAACTGTTTAAACCTTCTCAAAAACAAAGGTAAGTTCTTGAGAGCTGAAAATGCTAATACAAGAATGAAGAACAGTTGCAGGCACATCTTTTAAGCTGCTGTTTTCCAGTAAATTGCATTACCATATATGTGAAATCTTCTTGTCCCTTTTGTGGCATTGACCAGAGCTGTTTCTGACAGGGGGAGGGGGAACAGCAATCTCATTATCATTTCAAAGAAAAGATTAAATAACAAAGGATATAAAACCAAGAAGACCCGAAAGTTACTAACTAAAGAATGAAGCAGAAACAATTGCCATTTCTTTATGTATGTCAGCTGTGTTCAGACACACAGTCAAGCAATTCCTTAAGCTATGATTGTTGCAGACTCCAAACAAATCTCAGATCTTGTTTTTCAGAGTTGAATTTTAAACTGCATTATTGGAGTAAGAAGGAAGAGGTAAAAATGGGTCACACTCAACCTTGTCCTGTATTAAAACACTCCTAATTAAAATGCCATAAAGCCTCCCAGCTACTATTTGTGTGAAGGCCACGCGAAAAACTCCCCCAGTGCTGTTTGCTGTAACTTCTTACGGATTTGTTGAATGTATTTATTCTCTTGTATTAACACCAGGCAGAAAGTGACTATAAAATACCTTCATCTCAAGCATTTTTGATTCACAAGCTGGAAAGTTAAAGGGATGCTTGTTGCTTTGAATTCCAACCTGCCCTTGCTGTAGCTTTATTATTCTTCTAAGAACAACTTTCTGCTACACTTTCTCCAATTTCTGTACAACAGCAACTTTTACCTGGAAAACCACTTTCGTATCTCCTTATTCCACCAAAGGGTGGAAAAAAGATTTCTGTGGTAATGGAACTAAACCTACAAAACCAGAACAGCCAAACTTGTAAAACTCAAGCCAATAGAAGACCTCTATTAAAAGCACAAGCCCACAAGGAACTAAACATAGCCTTGCTGTTCCCATGCATGGCTGCCTCTGTCATTGCTTCCCTCCTGCAGAAGGTGGGGACACGGCCAGCTTTGTTTATAGAATCACTGCTCAGCCTCAGATAACTGTGGGCAGGAAACTGTCCCTACCTCTGGGGCTTGTGAACTGAACTGCAGACTGTGTGTGTGCTTCGAGGCACCCAGAGAATGTTTCAGCTCCTTCTAAAAAACTGTTTATGAAAGTTCCATGTAACAGTCCTTGAACATGAACCAAATGTGCAACCTCAGAAAAATCAACTGAACAAATAGAGAGTAGAAGTGTATTCTGCCAAACCAAAGTGCAGCTCAGCCGAATCTCCTGAATGGGGAACACTGACAAAGATAACGCCTGGCAGCTGTAGCTACAGCCCCACCCCGCTCCAGAAACTCATCACAAGAACTTTGCTAAACTTCAGGAGAGTCTACAAGGGGGAAAAAAATCCCTTTTAAGGAAGCATTTAATGACAATCAAATTGTACATGCCCATGCCATTCCCTTGGACAAAGGAAGCAGAAGCTACTAACATGGTTCTTTTCCTTTCCCTGTTCTGAGCTTCTGCACCAGTTGTTAGCCAAAAATAAATCCCATTCCACAACCATATATGTGCAACAACCTCCTGGTGAATGTGAACCCCCTCCAGCACTGCTGTTTTACTCCACCAGGCCAAGACACACTGCCACTGCTGCTGGGCAATGCACATAACCCAGCTCAACCGGGAATGCCTTTTACATCTCTTCTCTTTTCTGGACAAAAACAGTAGGAAAAATCTAGCAAAAACATGTCACAAGTTACTAGAAGTATTTCAGGATCCTTTACTATGGTCTTCATTGAACTTTCATTCTCCAGTGGAACTAAAGAAGGACAATTTTCTCCTGGGACCTGCTTTAAAACACTTAACCATCTGCTGGTATTCAGAGAGAGTCAAGCTGTGTAACATTGAGGATTGGATGAAAAGCAGTTTCCAGAAAGACTTCTGTAAGAGGCATGAGAACACTGTCAGTGACTTTTTACTAGACGTTTGCAACAGGTACGTTCTGTGGGTGTCAGTGTGCACTTGAGGTGAGTGAATTCCATAACCCTTGCCTGAAATAGAGCATGAAATACACGAGTGCTTTGCCTTTACAACTGTAGTGCAAGTTCATTTTAGAGTGGCAATTTCTACATTTCCCTTAAGTCTATGTTTTCCTTCTTTTTTCCGAAGAATTAGTTATTAATATGGGAAAGTGTACTACTCCTGCCTCCCATACTGCTACTCAGCTAAACTACACCATTCCGGCAGTGTCTGGAGGGTGCCTGGAGCAGAGCCCTGATTTCAAAGAGTGAACACACCTCATTACAACCAAGTTCAATTAACATGTTACTAAGTGTCAGCTTTAGTTCAGTCTAAAAAGGAAATATTCCTATTATACTGAAGTTTGAACTCCTAGCTGCTTCTAAACTGCATTGAGGGAAGAGAAATGCCACCATGGAAAAGCAGCCCTAGGTACACAGCTTTTCCTTCACAGCTCTGCTGCTGCAAGGCAGCTCTGAGGAAGGAGCAGAGCAGCAGTAGGAGTAGGCTCACAGGGTAGAGCCAGTCCCACTGTGTGTGGGTAACACCAGGGCTGGCTTGGTCCCAAAGCAGAGCCAAGGGGCCACAGCAGTGGCTCCCCAACATGGTGCACCTGTGCCACAACCCTCAGCTGTGGAACAACAACTGAAAAAATTATGGGATAGTGACAGGAGAAAGCCAGCAGCAGTGCAATCTCAAAACAAGGACTGAAAAGCAGCTTCAAAATGGATTAAATTTGCAAGTGCCAGATTTCTAAGTAAATGTTTTAGAACAATTGATAACTATCTGGATTAACTAAGGAGGAATCAGCATACCTGTGCCTACAAAGGATAATACAAGGTCCTACCTCTTTTTGCTGCAACCCACTGAAAGCATGCCTAGTCAAAATTCCTAGCACTGTGTACAAAGAAAAATGCAAAATAAATATCCAGCTTTCTCCTCCAACTGCTCCTAACAGAAAAGAGTTAAAAGGAAAAAAAAAATCTGTCTAGAGGTCTCACAAGAGCAACATTAACACAGACCTGTGTGTGATGCTCTGTTTAGCTAGGTGGATGTTGAATTGCTACTGCCTGGAAACGGAGCTGAGTGAGGAGCCAGACATAGCACATGTTTGCAGGCTGCTGCACAGGGCCGTGCTCAGCACAGCAGCTGCTCCAGGACAGCTGCACTGCATCAACATTCCACTGAGGACAGGCCTTTCCTATACTTCCCCAGGCCTACTCAAGCAGCAAGAAAAAGCTCTTTTCATTTGCTGCATCATTGTTTATAACAGAGTTACCAGCTTCAGTGACTCAAAGGAAAGTTTAAAAGCCGAGTGGGGTTCAAACATCAAACACTCTTTAGGAAGCAGCTGGCACCTATTCAGTAAATCCAAGGAGATAAAATATACCTGTAATTCCTGAAAATTAAGAGTGGGAGTGCCTTACTTGCTCATGCTCAGCATGTCTGCACAGCAGTCTCTTCTCAGTTGCCCTCCACTTCATCCTGAAATTTATCTCCTCTCTGCTGGGTCTCCACTGTCTGTGCCTGGAGAAGCACAGCGCCATCCAACTCTTTAAGAAAAAATTATGCAGCCACAGTTTAAATAGGCCTTCACATGACACTGTGCCAGCTGAGCCAGAGATGTTGTTACTAACAGAAAAAGCAAAGGAGGTAAGCTTTGCGTTTAGTTAAGCTGAACATTTAAGATCTACATGTGCATTCACCTACTTATGCCTCCTTGCCCCTTCCTGATGGAGACATTTTTCCAGCCTTCATATTTATTCTTGATGCTATTAGCTTCTGCAAGCTCTATGATTTATTTCTCCCATCTCATCCATCACCATCCTGCTTTCAGATGTCCAAATCTGCTGTCTGTGACCCTCTCTGGATGTGGCCATGTTACAGATAACTGCATTTTGCAGCTTCTCAAGAACTGCCCAAACCTGAAGAGCCTCAAACTGGAGAACTGTGTGCAGATCACTGACCACACCCTGGAGGCAGTGACCCTCCACGGGGCATCACTGCAAACACTCCATGTGGATTTCTGTCGCAATGTAACACAAGCTGGGCTAGAGAAAGTCAGGGAAAAGTGTCCGTCAGTAATTCTCAGAGCAGAGAGAAGTGCTAGCATGATCCCAGACAGTAAGCCAGAAAGAAAGCTGATGCTTGAAAAAGCATCAAGAAAATTGGTTCAGCTTTAAAGTGCGGGTATTTTACCCCACTGAGGTAGCAATGAACTGTCGCTTCTTCCATGGGTTCTGGTCAAGCCCAAACAAATGGTTGTTTTGTAAAGGGAAAAGACATGCATCTCCTCCTGGATGGGCTTCAGGAAGAAACTGTTTCCTCTCTGCTGTTCCTTGAAACTGGCAAACCCTGGATTGCTGTCACAAAATGCCAGATCTGCTGAAAACTGCAGTTCTGGTACCCTCCTGCTGCAGATGCACCTCACTGAGAAGAGGGAAGCAGCAGTGTGTTTACTGAGGCTAAATAATTTGATAGAGTTCAATAAATTTTATGAACTTTTACAAAAGTCTAACAGTAGTTTGACACAGTGCAATAAGTTTGATGGCAAGGTTCACTGACTGCATGGAAGAAACACAGAGTGAACTGAGGCAGAATGAGTCACACAGGGACCTGAGAACACAAACATTAAGGAAGAGCCTCCCACTGTGTCACGAGGTTCAGACTGGACCCTGCACTTTCAAAACTCCTTATGTAATGGGCAAGGGCATAAAGCCACATCAGAGAGAGCATGAGTTACTGTAGTACTTTCACAACTTTGAAAACAAGAGTGATTAACTTCTGTTAAAGGGTATTACCAGGCAGTCATTCCAACCACTAAGGAGGATAACCACTCCCTGAAACATCTTTCTAGCAAAAGCAGAGTACTGACTACCAGCACTTCCTCAGTGATTAACAGTGGCAGTTAATTTACAAGCCTTTTTTAGTTAATGAGGGAAGCATGGATTCAAGGCACACAAAACACAGTTAGACCCTCTGCATGATGTACTTACATAATAAAAAATGCACCAAGTTATTTAAGGCTGACATTAAAGGAAGTGCAAGCTGAACAAGTGCTAGTTCAGAGAACTAATCCACAAGAAAATAAAGTGGCTAACAGCCAGTACCATTAAATGCTAAATTAGGAACGCAGTACAGACCAGCTGTACATAAATACCCATTTCTCACTGCAAAGTACAAAATCAGTAGCTATTTCCATCCCAAAACACAAGGCAGTCTCCTTCCTGCACACTGCTCTGCTATCTGGAAGTGAAACTATTTTTACATACTTTTGAAACTATGCTACCATCTACAAAATTTGACACCAAAGAGGACTTTACAGCTCTCAACATAGTTGAATATACTTACTTCTCGTTCTGATCCTGGTTAATTGATCCACAGATATACTTGGCACTCTCTAATTTGGCTGAGGTAAGAAATAAATCACAGCATTACAGCAACTTAAGTCAAACAATGCTGCAATTCTAGAGAAATACTTGATCAGTATGAGCATCTGTAAGAAACACTCACCCAAAAAATCAATGAGGAAAATAAATTATTCCATCTTTGTTACTTAGCCATATTTAACAGTATGACACTGTAAATGTGGTATTTCATTAACTCCTTCCTAAAGTTCAAGTAGGGCCCTTATGCACCACAAGGTAAGGAAGAAAACTGGAAGCGCAGGTAAGGAGACACAGCAATCCTCACCCAGCACTGACAGCTATGAAAGGACATTGCTGAGCTGAACAAATTTACTGTGATGTGTAAATTGAGAAGCTGACACAACTTGTTCCTTGGATACACAACAACGGTTCCACACACTGCTGAGAAGCCAAAACTTAGAGTCACTGCAGCAAGACTTCCTCATGTCACCAGCTCTCTGAGCACTCTGTGGTGAAAGACATGTCTCTGTAGTTCTAACAGGAACAGATTTTCAAATAGCTACAAGATATGAAAGCACATTTGCTTGTGTCTACATATTACTTAAGCCTTTTACCAGTTTTCTACCAGGACTGGAGAGGGGAGGGGGAGGTGTTTGGGGCAGCGTGGGAAGAGGAGTTCCAAGCCATTAAAGTTCCATCAAGCACAAACCTTTAATTAACAGCTCCTGTGAGTTTACTCTAAACTGCCTCCAAAAAGGTCTTCATTATTGAGAAAGCTAACTGTACAGTCCACATAAAACTGCCATTTTCACAGGCACAATTCTGTAATTTCCTGTGCTGAACGAAACAGGCTGACAAAATCAGTGCCACTAAGTCAGACACCCATGAGGTGCAGAAGGCAATAATACGGGACTTAATACAGAACTTTCCCCATTTATTTAGATACTGTATTTTTTACCTAATAAACCTACACATTTAGACCAAGATGTGACTATACATCCTCACAACACAGTGATGGGGCACCAGCATCTCAGTCCAGTTTGAAACCTAAACACAATAAGGCAGGAAATGAAGTCTTCATGACTTCAGAGCCCTGAGATGCTCCTTCCCCCAACTCTTGAAACCCCTCTAATATTTCACTCTGCAGTGTGGTCTTTAATCATAGCTAGGCTTTTGGCTTTTTCAAGAGCCAATATATAGTACTGGGAACTTCACCAGATAGAACCCAGATATGCAAATTTTTACAGCTTACTAAGCCCTCCGTCTGAGCACTGTCAGTTGGCAGCAATACAGCAGCTCAGTCTTGGACACAAGGAAATTAATTTCCCAATCAATCCTTGTTAATGTATAATAGGCACATGAGAGAAAGTAATAGGAATTTCTACCCTACACTACATACTTAGATGGACCAGCCTTGCCCCAAGGCGAGATGACACTAATAAACATTTTCACCAGCCCTCAGTCCCAACAGCATCATCCCAAGGAGTTGAGGGAGGAAGAAATGGAGCAGAGCAGCTCTAACTCGCCAGGGCACAGCCTCTCCCCTTTTCCTTCCCCAGGTACATCCTGCTCTGAACACCAAGTAGTGTTTGACATCAGTGATGTCTTTCATAGAGACAACAGGCAATTACCTATTGTCTAGTACTCTCCTAAGGTATAGAGCAGAGATGTCCTTGTGCAGTACACTGCTGTCCTATCCAGACAGGAACATCAATCACTGTGTAAGGCGAACCATGCTGATCACAACAGTTACAGCTGAGACAAAGTGAGACCAAAGGCAGCACTAAAAATGTGAATAAAATCCACAGCTTTGACTACTACCCTGTCCTGTGGTAGTCTGTTGTTTTGCAGTTTGTTCTTCTGTAATACGTTTTAAATATTCCTTGTTACAAGTTTGTAATTGTTCATTTCATGTACCCCATTTGGCTTCCCTGATGGTTCAGCCCCGAGTTGTTTACCCCAAGATTCTCCTGCCATACACCTGTCAATCTCCTTGTACCTCCTTTGTTCCCTTCTGGAATGTTCCCTGTCCTTCATCCCTTCCTCGAAGCAAGACTGGGGTGCAGGGTTTGCTCCTTCCCCCTGGTGGCTTCTATTGGATAGCCCTTTCCCTGCAACCCTCCCCTAATGCCTTCTATTGGTAAAATGTTGTGTCCTCCCCTTATTCCTGCTTCTCCTTAAAAGCAGCTTTTTGCCCCCAGTTGTTGTCACTTGTCCCTGACTCCTCTGGGGAATAAAACTTCCTTGGAACTCAAAAGCTGATCCCTCTCTATTCCTTTGCCTTGGTTTCTCATACTGCGTTGCCCTGTGTTCCCACACCACAGCCGTCGCTGCAGGGAGCTGCGAGCCCCTGTACGCAGCGCCAGCCGGGGGAGCTCAGCAGAGATCCTGGGCCAGCCCCTCTCGAGACTGCACACCGGTCCGGGGAGTGAACTGGGTGGAGAATGTCGCCCCTGTGACCGCAGTGCGCAGTTACACCATCCTTTCCATTTTAATTTTTGTGTACTCTGAGCAGGAATTAACTATATCAATGTGTCCATTAAAAATATTATTTTGCTCAAAATATTTAAAGTTTTCTGCATCAAGGCGGCAGCATGCTTTTACTGTCAACAACTACTATGGAGGAGCAAAATGTTTAAACAAAAAGCAAGAAGGAACCAAGCACAGCATGAACTTGTATTGTAGTACAAGGAATGAACAGCAGTACATCCAACCAGCCAGGGCCTTAGGCCAGGAGAAGGCAGAGCATGGGGCTACACAGCACAGTCCAGCAGGGTGAACATTTTAAGATGCTTCAAATGTCACACCCTGTCTCAACACTGTAAGACTATAATTTTCTGAGACAAAATATAAAAGTATGAAGCCTGAGTAAACCAACCACAGTTCATAAATGCATACAAGAAGTTGAGTCTTGAATTTGCTTTATTTTTCTCTGCAGAAGGAACCCTGCACAGGCAATTCAAATTAAGACAAAATAAATATGTGAATATTCATGTAAAACTGTCCTGGCTAATGAACAATTATACACAATGTACAACTCTTCATGTTCACTGGGAAGGTTTACAAATGTACTATTCCCAACAAAAATGCACCAAAATGTCTCCATGCAAACTTATCAAAAGTGACCAAAAAAGGAGAAAAAACTTACCGATCATACTTTTTTGTTTTGTTTTTCCTTTTTTCTTTTTTACAATCACAAAAAAATAAAAACATCTAATTTTTTGTTACATTTAGAGTAACTGAAATGTGGCCACCATCTATTAAGATCTGGTTTTATGCTCCTAAAACATCTATGATTACTGTAAAATTATATCAATGATGAACTGGACTTAGGGCACTACTTGTAGTAAAAGGAAGATGACTGTTCACAGAATGTTAATAATCTGTGTCTGAGCCCTCTGCATTGTCCACATTCCGGGAGAGCATGTAATTGTCCATGTCTATAGACCTGCAATTATTGATTGCATAGCGCAAACGCTCTGCCATAATTACTTGACTGGAGTAAGGTGGGAGCCTCAGTTGAAAGAAACAAGTCTGTGAGGTAGGCAAGCTGTCGTAAGGCTGTGGAAACAGATAAAAGGTGGGACATTGGTAAGTTGTGAATGAAGTTAAAAATGCAACAATATCCACATTTCATTGCTCCTTGACTCTATCATTTTCACATTCTATCTCAAATTCCTTTAAAGAAGCAGACTGACCTCCCTTGTTTACAGCATTTATTCCACCCTTAAGTACATCCAAAACCTCAGTAGCCTACTCTGCAAGTAATACAACCCACTAATGAATTCAGCCTTTTGAAAAGTTGATCACACTGCTGTTTAAAAGCCTGCTACTAGATACCAATGATCAAATTACACAGTGTGCATAAGGTAATCTGAGAGACACCTAACCAAATATGACAAACCCCTGTTTGCTGAGATTTTGTCAAGTTTTTTGTTCATGTTGTTCACAGAGAATGTGCTTTCACTGCACAAAACCCCAAATTAATGCATCCTGCATGTAAAACAATACACTGTAAACTCATTGCAGTGGTTTTAAAACACTAAGAATTCACTAGTGATCATATGATGCCACTTGCACGAAATTAAAAACAGAAAGAAAATTACTAAATGAAAAGAGATTGGAACAATTGTAGTAGACAATGTTTCTTGTCTTTATCTCCAATCACCAGTTGCAACAACTACATTAAGATGCAATTCATGCAGCCTATGTCCTTCTATACAACCAAAATGTCTGAGTTTTTTAACTTAGAGCATATCCCATCCCATACTTTTTCTGTAAATTTACAGTTATGGAAATTGCCTCCTGGTGCCAAAGCACGGACTATACTTGAGAGGAAATAATGATGATAAAATAATATTAATACTAGTGTCTTACCCTATCAACCTTCATTATTTGGAATCGCTGAGAAATATCAGCTGTGTTGGCTGGCAGTCGAGATCTTCCTGACACAAACCTCATGAAAAGGACTCTCTCCTCATTTGAAAATTCTTCCAGGGTGTGCCAGAACCACTGCACCAGCTGATGCTGCTCATCAACTTCTCTGTATCGCACAACCTTCTTCAGAACTTCAACTGATATTTCTGGCATTCCACAGACCATCTGCTCCAACTGCTTGGCAGTCAGAAGGGACAGCAAAGGAACAGGCACAATCCAAGACATCCCTTCCCTGACAGCAGCCACCTAATGGCAAAAACAGGAGAGACATTTGAAGTGCAACTCTGATCTCTGGCACTTTCTGGACTATCCAAGCTGAGAAATGGCATCGAGAGACAGAATTACCAATGTCTTCCAAATACAGCCTCCAACCATGCAGTCCCTGCAAGGACTGTATTGTTTCTCAAAATCCTGGAGAATATTACAGATATTTTTAATTGTAACTGCACATTAAAGAACATCTTCTAATCCAACACAGAACTATTTAAAAAAATTAGAAGTTGGCAGCACAAATAATGATGGCTAAACCAAGCAACTGTTAATAGAAATAAGACTTTGTTCCAATTCACATGTATGGTGAGAATGCTATACTTGTTCTGCAAGACCTGGGATTTGGTATCTCTGATGAGGAAACTGTTTTCTCTGTGTTGTT